CCCAGCTAGTTAAACTGTAAGATTGTACGAAAAACCATGGTTATATGGGTAAGTGAATAGTATGTTTAAGCCGTAAAGCCCAGCTAGTTAAACTGTAAGATTGTACGAAAAACCATGGTTATATGGGTAAATGAACAGTATGTTTAAGCCGTAAAGCCCAGCTAGTTAAACTGTAAGATTGTACGCAAAACCATGGTTATATGGGTAAATGAATAGTATGTTTAAGCCGTAAAGCCCAGCTAGTTAAACTGTAAGATTGTACGTAAAACCATTGCATGATATTTAGAAATGTCATCACGAAATATTCGTCCTCTTCAGAATGATTAGATATAGAACTGACAATGTTAACAGCAAAAAGTATGTCATGCATTTTAAGTATAGAAGCGAGAATGTTAACAGCAAAAATATGTCATGCATGTTAAGTATAGAAGCGACAATGTTAACAACAAAAAGTAAGTCATGCATGTTAAATATAGAAGCGAAAACTTTAGAATTAATGAATTATTTCATACAGAAAACAACAGATAATAATTGTAATAAATATGCATATTTATAAATAATGTAAAAATACTATTGTATAACCCGTACATTTTACTTAGTAGCATCATCACCCGCCTCTAGTAACACCGTCCGCCTTTGTAAAACACACGTAAGCGAAAACTATAAAGTTGATAAAATTAAAATAGTACTCAACTATCATACAATTTTATTGACGACTTTAAAATATTCTATTTTACGCGATTGTTTTAAGACTTTTTCCAATCACACTCAAACCCGTACTTTTATTAAATTACTGTGATTCAAAATGCGATATATATTATCTCACAGCTTGATTTATAACTATACCGTACGGTTTCGAAATAAACCAACAAGTAATTCTTTTTTTGTAACCAGTTCGTAAATAAAAACTGTACGTTTATCTTGTGATAGTTGACAGCCCTAGATAACAATTCATTGTAACAACCATTACAGGTGTGAAAATAAAGTTCAACATATATGTATGTTTAACCCTTTTACTCTGCCCATATGGCGTCATTATCAGTTTCTCGTTATTATCAGTCAGACTAACGAGTAATTTAGGCTTAAAATATTGAAAGAGATGCCTCAGTTAGCATCAGTATTATCGATAAAACTAGCAAATGTTATAAAACCTTAATCGTTACTTCAAATTAACAAGTGTGTGTGTGTAAATAATCTTCAGCCTTTTACATAAAACAAGCCAAACATTTTGAATTACATCTGTGAGAGGTGAACTCAGCTCTTAGTACCTTTGTTTTCAGTTTTCTATACCACATTACGTTGTTCAATTCCTTCAGCTGACATCAATCAAGACAAACTACCCTCTTCAAGACATCACCGATTCACTAGTACTCCACGAATCGCTTGTTTCCGTATTATTACGTGCGAGTTTAAGAAGAATTACATCGTGTCTTGTATTCAACTTGTGACAATAACTCAAATCGGTTGAACAACCAGGCGAAACAACTTTTCCATAGACACCGATATAATTACTGTTTAACTCCGAGACCATGACGGTTGAGCCAAACTAACGAGAAAACTTTAACGTACCAGTAAATATTCCTCTCAACCAACCACGCCAAAAAATAAATTCAGCTGCTTATTTGCTCTACACATTCATTCGAATTCCATCTTTTACATTATTTTAGTATTTACTGACAGACAACACACTACTGTATAGTGGTACGAGTGGTTGAAATATGTGACCTTTCCATTCGGCCTTTTGACTTCACTTTGTACTATACTTCATTTGTATCTTCATTCCACACTGATATTTTGATGGAAGATACTGGTAACAGTGAAAATAGCCAAATGACGATTCAATACAATATATTATATATTTTATTTGTCAAGTATATGGATTTACAACATTATTCGGGGTGGATTTATTTTAGAAAACTGGTAAGTTACTTTTTTGGCTCTGATTTATTTAGTTAGGTTACCTCTAATTCTCATTAATCACAGTATACAGTCAGTCTAAACTCAAAGTTTACTGCCGGACTTTGTATGCATGAGGTTGATAAGAACAAGACAACACAATAGGGACTAAAGATAAAATGGTGTCTATGTACAATAACCAGTCGACTCTGTACCTTGACTTGCACAATTCATCACTAATGAAATACATTAGCGATTTAAATTCACCATTTTCAACGTCTGATCCAGAAACTCACAATATATACATGTGAATTTGCTTCCATCTTTCGCAAATATGAGAAGGTACAAAATGTGTTAAAATTAACAAAAATTGAGTCCGGAAAATCTGCTGATAATATCCTGTACTGACTGGTGCCTAACTTAATCAATGTTACGTATTACAATTTCGAATGGTCTGAAACCGAGCTAAATGATAATTTAAATTTAGTAGTTAAATAAACGCCAATATATATATATACAATTTATGATATTTGCCAACAAGATTGATACACAAAGTTTAAATTTTACTAGTACAAATATATACAATAATACAATTTACAATAACGGTGATTACAAATAGTTATTACAAACAATCATTTATATACAAAAGTTTACAAACTTACAAACAATATCGAGTCTTCTTTCTGGTTTAGAACATCCTTGATGTCCTATAGATAGTTCATGATGAGCGAGTTAATTTCGAGTTGACGTAGGTACAATTCACCTAACGGGGAGCTAGATAGCTCTGTGGTCTTCACTGATCACACGCCGATATTTCCTACCGGTGACGTTAGGTTAAGTTTTCGTAATACTACTAATATCCGATGTGAATCCATTGAAGTTAAATGATTTGTAATGTTCGAAATTTACAAACGTTCCTGAACAATATATCTGAAGTTCCCGATTAATAATAACTATACACAGTTATAGCTTCCGAGGTTTATAGTATAGCAACTACAGCAACCCAATAATATATACTATTGGATATATAGGCGTGTGGAGAGAGTCACGAAAATTCAGATAAGGTAACAATACAAAACTACACTAGCGTTTACGTACACATATATATTGTTGATTCTTACACTCGAGAAACTTCTACAACATTAGAAAATAGGTGGGAGTTTCGCAATACATATTTAACAGTATATGTTATGTACATTTCTAAATATAAATATAATTTAAAAATTGATATCAAAATAAATATATAATAATAAATCCGTCACATCAATAACAGGATTTTGTTTTTACCATCACGTACTATTAGTTACGGCATTCAACACGTGTTTGGTGTTTTGTTTTTGGTTAAAATGAGTAAAATTAATTAATTAAACTGAGGATTTAGTATTGTATAAGAAACTTTACCAGTGTAACGAAAAAACACGCCAACTTATAAATGAACCCCAATTATATAAAACAGACACAAACCAAACTAGAAGAAACAATTAGGGCAACCTTGGAAACACGCAGCTTCTAATAATAGAAGTAACAGTTTCTTCTATCTTATATTATCGTTATGGTTCTGTTGGATGAAGAACAGTGTTGTAGTGCTGCACATCTTATAGTACTAATGATATTAATATTACTACTAATAATAGAAGTAACAGTTTCTTCTATCTTATATTATCGGTATGGTTCGGTTGGATGAAGAACAGTGTTGCAGTGCTGCACATCTTATAGTACTAATG